TCTTTCCTCTTCGGCAGCTCTAGACCTTTTTCCGGACTCCCTCCCGGCTAGCTGTGGCGCACTAGCCCCCTTCACGCTGTGTTCACGCAGCCAACCCCAGTCCTCTCCCTGGGATCAGACCTTCGAAGCCAGAGCCTCAGCTCCCACCCCCGCCCTCCCCGGCCGGTGAGCAGACGAGCCTCTCGGGCTGGTGAGGGCTGGTCGGCACCGATCCGCTGTGTGGGAATCTCTCTGCTTTGCCCTCCGCGCCCCTGTTGCTGCGCTTTCCTCCGTAGTTCCGAAGCTTCCCCCCACCTCCCCCCGTCTCCTCCAGTGAAGGGGCTTCCTAGTGCCAGAGGTTCAGGTCCTGTCCCTATTCTTTTGTCTCTGTTTTTTCTCTTTCCTTGTGCCCTACCCAGGTACGTGGGGAGTTTCTTGCATTTTGAGAAGTCTGAGGTCTTCTGCCAGCGTTCAGGTGTTCTGTAGGAGTTGTTCCACATGTAGATGTATCTCTGATGTATTTGTGGGGAGGAAGGTGATCTCCACATCTTACTCCTCCGCCATCTTGAATGCCTCCCAAAGCTCCCATTTTTGAGTATTTATGATGGCTCTGCTTACTGTGTTACATTGATTGTTTCATTTAATCCGAAACCCAAGGTATAGAAACAATTATGATCATCTCAATTTTGTAGATGAGGAGTACGGTGCTCAGTAACTTAGGAAAACCATTCATGATCCCATAATTAGTAACAGGCAGAATTCAGGCTTGAAGCTAAACTTGCCTCTTCCCAAATTCCATGCTCCCAACCATTCTGTGGGGTGGATTATAGGGCCACTACGCCAGCCTCTGAGCATATAGCAGCACCAACCTCATTGTACCTCGGCTATGTTGTTGCATTCCAAATCTGGTTTGGAATATGCTCAAACTCTCCTCATCCGTTCTCATCCAAAATTATGGTAAATAGTATTTGTTTAAATAAAGATGAAAGGTCCTTTGCTGTCAAGTTCTACGTAAAATATCTGACCTTCAGGGGAGGCCAGTTCTCTAGAAGTTGCGGAAGTGAGCAAAGTGAGAAAAAGACAGCAGAGAAGAGAGGGAATACACTTCCAAATGACCCAGGACAGAGCTGCAATATTTCAATAGCAAAAAAGCCCCCAATGTTTCATCTATAAAACAACAGAGCTACTTCTGAGGATTTTGTGAGGATAAAATTTGCCCATCCAGGGCTTCCCTGGTGGCGCAATGGTTGAGAGTCCGCCTGCCGATGCAGGGGACACAGGTTCGTGCCCGGGTCTGGGAAGATCCCACATGCCGCGGAGCGGCTAGGCTCGTGAGCCATGGCCGCTGAGCCTGCGTGTCCGGAGCCTGTGCTCCGCAACGGGAGAGGCCACAACAGTGAGAGGCCCGC